AGTATTTTATTACAGACTGGGAGGGACAGACAGAGAGAGAGATTGGAAAAAAGGAAGGGGGGGGATGTGACCATGGCCCATTGATATAATGGCCCTGCTGGCATTAGTGATGTACTGTACAGGTGAGGCACACAGGGAAAGAGGAGAGTGTGGTAACAGGGCAGGGGAAGGTGCAGGAAGTAGTGGACAGGGATATGTTAGAGTGTTTTTAATGTTTGTTTGTTTGTTTGTTTGTTTGTTTGTTTGTTTGTTTGTTTGTTTGTTTGTTTGTTTGTTTAAGGGAATGGGGGGGGTTGCTTTTTTCTCTAAACTGCAAATGAAGAGGGAATGGAGATCTAAGAGCTGGAAGACAGAGGAGCTGTAGCTCAATATGGATCTGTGTGGTGCTGCCTGAAGAGAGATTACAGAGCTGTATTCCAGGAGCTGTTGTGGGTGTGAGAAACCAAATGGAATGTAAAGAAGTCCAACAAACATTGATGGGCTTTCCTTTTCTGGATTTGATGACAGCTTTTTTTATTCAACCCTCTCACTATGGCACTGGAACCTGTGTCTAATTTGGGCTATATTTCAGAATTAATTATATCTGAGCCAATGCTTATAATTTATGTGTCATAATGGCTATCAATCACTGGCAATAAATCGGCTAATATTCTCATTAACTCCCACTCCTCATCCATCAATCAAGGACATAGCCAGATATCCGTTCAACAGTTGGAGCCAGAGTAAATTCAGATAAAGGTGGGCGATCCTCATTAACGTCAGGCCAAATCGGCACTACTGAGTCAAGGAGCAAGCTCAACCTTTGATCTGCTCGAGCGGCAACAGTGGCGCCTTTAGCGGGACCAGGGAGTCTGAGGCTTCTCTGGCAGCTGTATTCAGGACTCAATCTCGCCTTAGCTTTGCCTCACTGCTTCACATCGCCAAAGCCAAACACTCTGAGAAATTTTAACAATGTCATTGTACCACACCCCATCAGCCCCAGAGGCAAGCTTACTTGGGCTCAAGAGCCACTCTCTCCATAATCACCCCTTCACAGAGAGAAAGAAGGAGAAAGAGGTGGAGGTAGAAGTGGGGGACAGAGACTGAGAGAGGCAATCCAGCTGAGCAAAAGTAGCTTGCATCAGTATTTATAGAGTGATATGCCACATCTTGTACTAGCAGTCCAAAGCACAGAAAGTAACAAAAAGATCTGAACCGAATTCGAAAAACTGTGCTAGCTAATCGTAATCTATTCAGGTCCAGACTGAGACAATAAACAGACTGAAAAAAATAACATTCTCTTCTGATATCATGTGAAGTGATGGGAATTTTACCTTTTCAAATACAAAATTCAATAAATAAATAAACACATACTGGGGACACATTTTTTCCAAGGAACACGTGGATGGGTTCAAGCTGTGATCTTTCAGTTTCACCTGAACGTACATCTGAAGGGGAAAACAAGAACGGAAGATTGAACCATTTCACACAGTCAGTACAAGAAAAAAGGTCTTCAATTTTAGGGGGGAACAGAGCTACAGAATATCACCTTTGCTTCCAGCAAAACACCCAGCAGACTTATATTACACCACCGATCTGATAGTGCTCTGGCTCTTCTCGTTGGGAGTTCTGTCAAACAGCTTGTTTGGAAGAATAAAGCTTGCATTTTCTTCCCCAAGAACCTATGTGAAGAAAGACAAAGCATTTTTTTTTCTTCTTTTTTTTGTAGAGATTCATCTGTTGTCTTTGCTGAATCGGTAATCAAAGCCAGATTTTTCTTTCTGCATCACTGTCACTCTTGGCAATCTTATAGTTTCACCTGAATTGATGAATATTAATGGTCCATTATTCTCTTTGTGAAAAAAACACAAAACGCATTCAGTCCTGTGGTGAATAAAAGTGCTAGACAATAGGATGAGGGATCACTCAGTTTAACACATTTTGAGTACAACTCAGCCCTGGAATCCATCATTAGCAATACTACACCATATGCTAAATGATTGCCTGGAAGTAAAGCTAAGAGTTAAATCTGAGACTGTGAGATTTTCCTTCATAAACTGCCATCAATCTGCCTTGCACTACAAAGAAAACACATTCTGATATCTCTTTGGTGCAAACACAGCAATTTGTTCAGTGTTTGTCTTCTGTTCTAAGGCAATGTTTTGCCTTTAATGGCCTGGTGTAATTGAGTTTCTTTGTTGTATGTTTGAATAATTGAAATTGCTCTGATTAAAGATGCAAAATGGTTGGTAAACATGGCTAATGCCTTACCAGGCATTGTACAGAAACGCAGAAAAAAAAGTCCTAAATTTGACTACAAAACTCTTCTTTATACTAAAATAAAAGCTATTTTTCACCATTGTGATAATGCAATGGTAAATCGAGAGCTGCTTTGCCCAAAATTACCCTCTGCCTGGTTTCCAGTGGTCTCCATAAGAGTCTTTACTCGCTCAAGTGGTATTGGTATCTCCCACTCATTGTCATCGATGAGCAAACATGTGTCCATATGAACTAGCTCTCTGTTCTTAATGATGGGATATTTCTGAACCATCCTAGCTGATGATGAGTAATCCTAAAATCCCTTCCAACGCTGTTCGTTTTAAGCTACAGCAACAAGATTTCACAGCTGTCTCTCCGACTTCACTTTAACAGGTACTGCATGTCTGCCTCCGCGACACAAGCAGGACTGACGGGGGTTGACGAGCACGCCGCTCAGTGAATCACAATGTCGAGAAACGATGCGCTGAAGAAGAACACCAAAAGGGAAGGGGGCTGTCATGCCTTATGGCCGTCCTTCTCACTCTTCCACACCTCCCTGTCCTCCCCCTCCTTTCCTGCATTTATGCTAATAGTCTCTGCTGGGAGAGAGCACCGTGGCTGACACACAGTTAAAAATCAATGGCACAATTTCTCTCAAATACAATCTCTTACTCTTGTTACCAGTATTTGTATAGTCATCAGAGTGCACCAGCAAAAAAAAAAAAAAAAGCTATAGGATGGAAAGAGTCCAGTCTTGGCCTGGACTTCGCTGACAACCATCCCACAACTGCAGACACAGGCGGCCTCACACAGCAGAGAAAATTGTGCAAAATACACAGAGAGCTTTGTGACCCATTTGAATCACACCTCCCACCCATTTGATTCATTTTTTAATTAAGCACGAGAAACACTGGGAAAGGGGAAGAAAAGGAGACAGAAAGGAAGAGAGATTTATAGTCTTAAAGGGATGCAGTGCCATCTTGGTCTAACACAGGACTTATCTTAGCTCTGCCAGGCATACTCATGAGCACTTAACCTTGCAGTGAACGCTACCCATCATCATCGCTTTACAAAAAAAAGGCTAGCTGCCTTTTTCTCTGCCCAGAGCTGCCCCCCAACCCTACCCCAATCCTTGCACTGTCCTTCAACAGGAAGATGCTTATATCTATGACTAACCTATCCTACAGTCAACTTTGCAAAGCATTAACTGAGGCCTTGAGAGAACACATCCTTCATGACCGAGAACATAACTTGATTTTGTGCCACCAATTCTCTGCTGACAATGTGCAGAACATTTGACACTCTGGCCAGGGGCACACAGCACAGTATTCAAAGCAAAAGTGTGTGTAAGCTTGGAACTGAAATCACAACCGTGTTATCCACATATTTATCTTTATTAAAGGGTGCTGACTTTATTCTGTTTTTAGAAACTTGTTTTATGTGGCTAAATATCTGTGGATATATAACTGTCTGGGTGATGATGTGTGAAATGTTCAGTTGCAGCTGTGAGCTACTGAACATCTAGCCTGTGAAATCCAGGCTCAAGAATGGAAAATGTGGATCCGTTACTGTTTGTTTGTTTCAGAATTCCGATGAGCAGCCATTGTTAAATTCAGCCTAATTGATACGGTTGAAAGATTAATGCATCACTTAACAGCATTTTTGTGTTAGCATGGTATTTAGAAAACACAGGTGCAAATCCCACATGGTGGTAAATGTTTAATTGATGCAGCCATATGACTACACTCAGCATAAACGAAGAACAAAAAAAGACGGAAAGTGAGAATAAAATGATGCACTTGCCTTGTTTTTTTGTTTTGTTTTGTTTTTTTAAACAAAAAAATAGAAACAACTTTTTTGCATCAGTCCAGCCATCAGTTATAACAGAGGGAGTGAAAAAAAGAATTACACTCACTGCAACGGCAAAAAGTCAAACAAAAAAGACATACTAACCAATTATCAAATATTAGCTGTGATAAACTGTTTGCAAAAACTACGACTGAACAAGATCAAATATTATGCTTGATGGCCTGAATCCCTGCCCATGCCAGAGTGGCTGGGTGATATTCTGAGGGAGGGATGTGAGCGTGGCTGCCAGCCTTACTCTCCCCAGGTGAATCCCAGCAATGAGCTGTGAACAAGCTGCTTTGGCTGGGCTGGCCAGCAGCCTTCCCCTCCCCTGAAACCTGCCTGACACTTCCACACAGGCCAGGGAGCAGGTGGCCTTTAGCTGCAGGATTAGCCTGCAATTCTGTCCATCACACAGCCGCAATGGAAAATGTAACCAGTGCTAAAATAGACCTATTATTTCAAAGGATTTTATCGATGCTATAAACTGTGTCTAAAGAATGCATTTACATGTCAAATACAACACTAACATTTTAAAATGAAAAGAAAAAAAAATCAGGGACTGCAGTCTCATCGTGTACCTTTACTTTTTGCAAAAAAAGTAAAAGTTAAGAACTAACAGTTGTGTTTGTTTCTCTGTTTCTGACTAACTTGGATTGCAAAAACATCCAAATGTAACAGCAAGAAATGTGCCACCATTATTTGATGGGAGCTTAATTATTTCTATGAGCATTTTCTGACCCTCTCTCGCTGCCTTCCGCTCTCGTCCCCATATCTCTGTTTCCCCTTGACAACCACAACCCTCCCACTGCCCATGGGAAGAACAAAAAAATGGAGGGAGCATTCAAATGGCCGAATTAATGTTTCCACACGATAAGCGAGCTTAATATAATGCTGACAATCACAGCACTCACCCTGCCAACTAGAATTGGATCTGGTCCAGAAAATTCCTCCAGCACAAACATTTGATTCCAAACCCATCCTCTCTTGGCGCGGCTTAGTAATCTTTGTCCTTCGCCAACACTGCTCGCCACCACTGCGGACCCACCAGTTTGTGTACTTTTGGACTGGCCTATGATAGGAGTCATAGACACGGACAGAACACAAGTAATCCACACCAGCAGCAAGGACAGCCACAGATCCATGAGCATCTCCTCAGACCGCTTTGGCATCCTGTCGCTGTGTGTTTTGTTTGTTTGTTTGTTTGTTTGTTTTACGGGATTCTTCTCCCCGCGTTGTTTGCCCCCTCCTCTCTTCAGATCAACCGCTCCTTGTTAGATAACAAGAAAAGGTTACTTGTGTCCTCCTTTAACAGCAGTGCTTGCATTCATGGTGTGGTAAAGGTCACTTGCACACCTTGGCATACCTCCATAGCATTTGGTGAGGGGGTAACTCTCTTAGCACAGCATCCATTTGGCATTATTCCGAGGGGGGGACCTGCAACGAAGAAATCACAGTTTGTTAGTTGTCTCTTGGTTTTGTGGGGAGCTGTCAGAAGATGATGAAGACAGAGAGAGGCAGAAAAAAACAAAAACAAAAGCAAACTAAAAAACAGAGTCAAATTAACATTTGAAGAAATCAGATGACACAGATAGCATGAGAGGCAAGAAAAATGTTTCTAGAGTAGCAAAATGATACAACAAAGATGTTTTTAATAAGAAAATAAATTCTCATTTTAGGATAAGAAGTCTGGATGTCACTTCATCTTTACAAATGATCTATCTGTAGCAGCCTGACCCTTTGCTCCAATCTTGTTTTCATATTATTCTGCTACAACAGAACAAATGGTTATGTCTCCACTCTGAGGCTATTCATCCTGAAATATCAGATTGCTTTGCTTTAATCTGTTGTTCTGGGGATTATCCTGATAGATTTTGAGAAATTACACGTTCCTTGTGATTAATGTTTTGACAATACATTTCGGGTTAAGCATTGTTAAAGCCTGCGGTCATATTCCTTAGATATTGGTGCGTGCATGCATGCAATAGCACCAGGTTTAAATAGAGAAGCTGGCAGCAGGTGAGCCATGTCAACAGCACTGCAGCTCACATATATTCAAGTAATCCAGATGAAATAATTGCTGTGCTATTTAAAGCCATGTTTACTCACTGAAACAAATGTGCAATATTACACTTGAACTGCTGTTTTCCGATAAGCGTGAACATAAAGTTGTTTCAGTAAACACAGAAACACAAACACACAAAATTGGATACAACAGACTGATGTTACAGGAACACATAATAGAAGAAGTGAGTAAATTAATGTAAATTTTGCCCTTCAATCAAGAACAGTTTCGGCTCTTTAAATGCTTCGCTCAGTCTGACGGGCAGTGTTCAGCTGAATGCAAAATCAGAGGGTAAAATAGGCACAGGTACAAAGGGTTGGCTTTGAGTTGTCCTCAGCTAAAACTGATGGAGGTGGAGATGCTACCGGAGCACAGAACGGCTTACTTTCAGCGCGGTTTAATCTTAGTTTTGGTAACTTTTACTATGCACCGAATCTCACTGTGGTCATATGCTCTGTGATTACAGCGTCGCATTCCGAAGGACAGTAACGATGAATTCCACCTGAAGCTGCACTATAACAAAGTGTGAAGAGATCCGAATTACTGTGACACCGACCCGGAGACTAAGAGATCCTGGACCAGGTTAAGAAAAAAAAAAAAAAGATTAAAGAAGAAGAAGAAGGAAAACGGAAATGTATACAGATGAGAGAGTAAGTGAAACTGGTAAAATGCCAAATCGTAGCCAACTTAAAAATCTTCTCTCCGAGTCAGTCACATTAAATGACTGACATAATTTCTTCGGCATTTTAAGTCTCTGTGGTGCGTGACAGAGCAAGCGATTTCAGCACCAAGAAGACAGAACAGCTCCCCGCCAGAAAGCAGCCGGTCCAGACAGCTCAGCCGCGAACAGAGCGGCGAAGAAGAAGAAGAGCTGTCCAAGGTAGGAAATTCCCACATAGGGAGATTTTAATTGCTAGTCAACGAGCAAAATGAAAGGATAAACCCCCAAAGTTTGAGCTTACTACTCGCCTTTCATGGCTTTAAAATAGTCTGAGGCAGTATCCCGATTACCCAAATTTGCTCTCTATCTGAAGTTTTACCCTTTGAGGAGACAGTCACTCCGTGTCATCGCATTAAACGTGCATAAGAATTCAAAAAAACAAAACAAAAAAAGCATTCAGACATACACGACCGGCTTATACTGGTGACGGAAGCATGAATTACAAAAGAGGTAGTCTAAGTTGCTGAGCTCTCTGTAGACTTGCTCTGTCGCTCCGAGTCACCTCGCTCCTGTAAACGAGCCCGGCAAAATGCGCTGAAGCCACGCGTTGGAGAAAGGGGTTATAAGAAGTCCTGTTCAACCTCTCCACAAAACACCAATTTACCTCAATAATACCTGTTAGGTTTATATATTATGGTGGTGGGCTGTACTTACTAGTGAGACTTGCATCCTTTTCCAGTGCTGCATTATTTCTCCCCTTAAAACGCCAGAAACTCCAATGCGTTTCATTCGAGGCGGTGGATAAATAAGCAAAAGCCGGAGAGTCAAACGGCTAGAAATCCTTCCCGCAGTTTGTCAGTGCGGAGTGACAGTGTTGGTGTTGTAGTTAAGAGCTCCTACAGGCTTGCTGGCCGACTGGAAAAGTGAGGAAGAGATGGAGGAGAGATGCACGGTGGCGAAGAGAGCCTCCCCTCCACTGCGCTCATTGGGTTGATGAGGAGTCGGGTCAACAGGCGCACAAATGAATGCATGCCGCTCTGCCCAGGCACGGACGCGCAAAGGTTATCGTCTCACATTGCCGGCTGCAGCTGTAGGTATTATCTAGATGTGTGCAGGTAAAACGGTTCTTATCGCAGTGTGTGTGTTTTCTCTACTCTCTCTTTTTTTTTCTTTTAGTAAGTGACGCATGCGTTGGCCTTCGGTTCTCCGGGTTAATAATGAAATTAAATAGGCCAGACGACCGGTGAAACGAAGCCGAGTTGCTCATTTACAATGCCATTTGATATGGTTAAACAATAAACAGATGGACACACACACTGCGGGGCTACCACGGAAAGCAATGGTAAGCAAAGAACACAGAATACAATGGTCACATTTATTTACATTTTTCGAAACTAAAGTTGGTGTAAAAAAAAAAAGAAAGGAAACGAAAAGCATAAAAAAGGGCGTAAATCCCAGAGTTTTTGAAAACAAGGAGAAAGGAAAAGGTTAAACAGGTCTTCATTAAGACTGTTAGTGAAAAGGTCACGCTCATCATTGCATGCCTGAATGTGCGTGTGTGTGAGTGCAGAAAAGTGCATGAGTGACAACAGAGGCCCGTGCTGCTGTCCACATAGAGAGCCCTCTAGTGTTTGTATAGCTACTTAGCAGCAGTCACGGGGGATGGGGGGGCTTCATTAGCGCAGCGGGAAAAGAATGTCAGTATACTGTCGTATTGCTGTCTTTTTCCCCGAATCTCTTTGTGAAACTCACTTCCTTCCACTGAGCACTGAGCACTTATTTGCCTCCTCTTTGTTGCAATGATAAGTCACGTTCCCATCACTTCAACACAAGAAGTTGTTACACCTTACTACCTTAACACACGAGAGTTGTTCCTCTTAGGTTTTTCCTGGTGGAGCCCTTTTGACCCAAGTGCCAGACATCCCAATTAGCAAAGACATCAAGTCTACCATTATATATTTTTTGTACCATTTAATTTTCCTCCCACTCGTGCTTTGATGTTGCAGCTGCATTTCAGATGGGAATTCTCCAATCATCTTTTTTAAAAGCTCCTACTGCATAATGCATAAGGCTGTAAATCTTGAGCTATGTTACTCTTTCTCGATATGAATGAAGATTTCACCGACTGACACTTGAAGCGTAGCAGATATGTGTGGACAGAGATAAATGTATAAGAATGACTGCTTGGGAGGGGCTGTGCATTTAAAAAACAGAAAATACTCCAAACTTTAAAGTAAATAAAACAGCCAAAAGGCATATTACAGTAGCTGAAGCTAATATTTCTTAGATGCAGTCTAATCTTCCTCTCTCTGTCACACACACGCACACACACACACACACACACACATAAACACTGCCTAACACAAGATGTCAAACTTCAAAGCGCAAGCCCTAATTCATGTTTAATACAAGAATATACACTTTCATAAAACTTGCATTGTCGTTATTCATTGCACATTCTTTCAAAGGTAGGGTAACAGCTCCACTGACATCAGGTGAATCTGAAACTAACTAATCATTCAAAAATCTCCTTCTGTGAGCAGCGTTTTGTGCAAATTAGAAGGTTTCAACTTTAAATTAGTGATTAATTCCACTGACATGGCCCCTGCCAGTGATCAAAATATCAGATGGCTTCGAAAAAGGCAAAGTAAGTGAAGGGGAAATGGTCTTTGGAACCCAAGCATCCTCAATCGATCATTAGTTACTGCTTTGTCAGTACTATTAATCACAGAGCTGTTGCAGCGTGTGCCACATTTCCACGTCTCAGACTCCACATAACAAGTCATCACCACAGGGATTGTTAGCATATATAAAGTTTGTTGTTTGTTTTCTTCTGCTATTTCTTGACTGTTCGACATCTAAAGCACAAGCTTGTCCACACTTATAGATAGTCACTCCAGGGTATTCTCTGTTTAGGAGTTCATGAGTAGGGATAATTTTGCTGCCCCCACTAATTTCACAGAGTCTCCAACCCAACACCTAGAACTCATTTTAATAAGCAGTGAGCCTTGAAACAGCACTGGGCTAAGGTTGAGATAACTAGAAACTTCAAACTAGCCCATTAGCTTGACATCCCTCCTGTGCTCTGCTTGACTTTATTGGTGTTATTGCTAATAGCTTCTAAGTGTACCTCTATCTTCCCTGCTGTGTTATCTCTTGAAAATTGTAATCTTCTTGATAATAATATGATCCTGATCACCTGATCATCATACATTTTACTTAGTACTTTGATCACTATTGTTGTGCCTTGCAATGATGACTCAAACACACATCCCCACTTGCTCTGTTGGCAGTCTTTATCCTTCAAGTTTGGGTCCTCTACCAGAGGCCTGGGAGCTTGAGGTTCCTCTGTAATATCTGTACAGTCCCTAGGACTGGGTTTTTTTCTGGATAGTGATATCTGATGTCATTTCTGGGGTATGTTGGAGCTACTCATCAAATTTGAGGGTCAGTGCACTGAGTTCTCTGATTACCATGGGAACCATTGTTGTTTTCTCCTTCCACATCGTTTCTAGCTCCTCTCTATGCAGCCAGGAGACAACAGTGAGTGCTCACAGCCAATAATAAAACACAGTGGAGGCTCTGCCATAGTTTGTGGCTACATTTCAGCCAACAGTGTTGGGGAATTAATTGAATTATTAACATAGAAAAGTAGAGTCTGATTCTAATCCATTACGCAATACCATGTGGAAAGTCTCTGACTGATAACAGCCTCATTTTGCAGCATTACTGTAATCCAAAACACATTGCCAATGCAGTAAAACACACCTGTATTAAAAAAAAAACAAAAAACAAAGGAAACAAAGGGGCAAAAAGAAAATCCTAGCAATCGTGGAACACTTTTAACTATCGATTGGCCTCCTAAGATCTAGGACCTCATCAGTACTGAATCAATGTGAGATCATCTTGAAAAAAATGGAACAAAGGGAAGCAAAAAAAGACCTTTTAAATGACCTTCAAGAAGCCTGGCCATGGACTATTCCTGAAGACTACTAAAAGAAACTACTTAAAGAAAGCTTGCTTAACCCGTAAAAGTTGAAGGGAGCCCCCACAATCCCATTTGCATATATTTTTTAAATGGCAACCAAATAAGTTAGAGCAATAATTCTTTTTGCATATGAAAAGGGAGGAGCTTTACTTATATATCATGCATTCAATTTCATAGGACTTCCTGTGTTGGAATAAATGTCATCACCTTATCAACACAAACTATCACATGGTTTAATGTGCGCCATTACCTGCGGAAACCAGAAGTGATGCCATTTTCGCTGGAAATGTAGTTTTCTCTGGGGCCTTTCAAAGCTCCACTGGTGCTATTGAAAGTCATGTTTGACTTTGTGCCTTTCTATATAGTTCCTGGGACACTTAGAACTTTGATTATACTTTTGAAAATAGTTTATTTTGTTGCACATGCTGGGTTTTTTTTTTTTGCAAATTGTGCACAATAATATCTATTTTTGTTTTTGCTGCAGTTTTTAAAAATGTGTGTATCTTAAAATAAACTTATGAAGACACTCAAATAAATGTACTTTCAAACTTATTAGCACTGTATAAACTCTGCTTTTGTACTTATATACTGTACCAAAAATGTACATCTGGAAATGTGCGTGTGTACGTGTGGGTCTAGGAGTTTGTGTATGTGTGATTTTCATTTTAACTATATACAACAGAGAAAGGCAGTAAATCCACACAATACAGAAACTAGAGTGAAATAATTTAAGGCATTTAGCTTAGAAAATTATTCCTACTATTAACTGATTATCAGATTAGGTCATTTTTTTGTAGTTCTTATATAAATAAAGTTTAAAGTGAACCCTGTAAGTCACTGTCACTTCAGTTACTAAGGTATCAACACTGCAATGGTCATGTTCAGTTTGTGAACAGTGAAAAAGACACGGTACTATTTTACTGTAAAAAAAAAAAAAAAAAAAAAAAAGCTTTAAAGGAAGTGGGACTATTGGGACCAGTGCTTAATCACTCTCCTCCCAGGATTTCCCAAATGATTGAAAGATCAAAAGTACCATGGTTTTCCTTCAGTCACAAACTTGGCTAGCTAATCTTTGTGCTATTTACACAACCTGTAGGCCAATAGAAGGGTTACAATAGGATATCAGTGTGTTACAATGCACTCTGGCTGCTCTGCAAAATGGCAGTGGGTGGAAGAACTCTGCATTAAAAGTGACAACATTTTCTTCTCCTTTATTTCTTCCTCTTCTTCCTCCTCTTCACCTTCTCTTGCTGTCTTGGTCAATGGAACATTAAAATAGCATATCAGTAAAAGAGCTCTACTCAATAGGCATGTGGCGGGTAGACATGAAAGGCTTGGAAATACTCATTGTTCTTCATTGTCAAGTGCTGCCCTCTCCATTTGACAGTATGATATTAACAGCACAATTGAGTACTCAGGCTGGTTCCTTCCATTCGGCTCCTTCAAAACCACTCTGGCTCATTTCAGGCAGTTTTTTAAAATCCTTTTTAGAGCTACTGTGAATTGTTTAAAATGTCAAAATATGCAAATCACTTCTGACCTCTTTTGAATCATAAAACACAGCATAAAAATCCAACTTAAATTTGAGTATGAGAAAAAATTCTGAAAAAATACGGCTCTTGCTTAAACACTCAGTGAGCAGTAAGCAACCAGTCCCCCACGCTTCAAGTCACTGAAAAATTTGTTGGCGATGTATGTGCTTGAGCAGACCGATATATACTGTAAGTACAACATGTGGCACATTAGCATTCCTAAAAGTCACACTTTAATTGGTTACAGATTAAAGTTAATTGATTTAGCTGATAGTTTTAAAGCTCCTGAAGATAATTAAGTGCAGTGCTGAGAATTCTGATATGTTGACATTTTGAGAATGAACAACCTGTAACGTGTGGGTACAACATAACGTTAACTAACATCTTAATCATGCAAATTGAAAAACACGGCAGTTTTAATTATCACCGGTCGAATCATTGGTCCTCATTAATTACATTGGGCTTATTTATTCATATTCACATATCTATTCCACTTACTTCCCAATTATGCAGGACAGTCCTCAGACCCCCGCTGATATAACAAACAGTGATTCCATTCCTGCTTCATTAGAGGATGCGTGTAATAGGACGCCGAGGGGATGGAGGGACAAATGAGC